CTGCTTTTTCAATCTCGAAAATCCTCTTTTGTATGGCATCTATCAGTAAAAAAACTTTTTATTAAACAGTTCATTATTGACATTGGCGATTTTTAGCTTTAATATCAAATGACTTAAAGAAGTTTTGAAAGTGACAAGTACACATCCCGTTAAACTATATATAAGATGATGTTCTGAAACTTGTTTAAAAAGTTTATATACGGGGTTTCAAGTAGGTGCATACTACAATATTGGATATAAAAATATAGGCACATATACGAGAACAATGGCGACATTTTTTGGTCAAAATTAGTGCAGTTATTGGCAATTTTGCAACGAACATTGATAAAAGCAGTAAGTGCACAGCCCATTGTTTTCTTGTTTATTAAAATATATAAAAATGATGCTTTGAAAATCGCTTCAAGTGAAATTATAGGGTTCCAACTAGGCACATACTACGAGAACAACAATGGCGACATTTTTCAGTCAAAAATACTACGCACGAAGTTAATGGTGATTTTCAGCTTTATTAAAGCAAAAAGAACATTAAAAAAGCAACAAATGCACAGTCCATTGTTTACTGGTTCAAAATATATAAAAATAATGCTTTCAAAATCGCTTCAAGTGAAGTTATAGGGTTCCAACTAGGCACATACTACGAGAACAACAATGGCGACATTTTTCAGTCAAAAATACTACGCATGAAGTTAATGGTGATTTTCAGCTTTATTAAAGCAAAAAGAACATTAAAAAAGCAACAAATGCACAGTCCATTGTTTTCTGGTTCAAAATATATAAAAATGATGCTTTGAAAATCGCTAAAAGTGAAGTTATAGGGTTCCTAGTAGGCACATACTACGAGAACAACAATGGCGACATTTTTTAGTCAAAAATACTACGCACGAAGTTAATAATGATTTTAAGCTTCATTAAAGCAAAAAAAAGTTGGAAAAACCGATAAATGCACAGCCCGTATTATTTTCCTTTAAACCATCTACATAAAATGTCTTGTAATTTGCTAAAATTATAGTTACATGTTACAAAGTGAGGGTATAGACGTAGCCATCAATTTTGTAGTCACTGTGAAAAAACCTTGTTTATGCTGGACTCACACATCACACGTAGTTGTAACTGCTCTAATGCACCCTCGATTAATTTTAGATGATAATGGCATGTTTCAAATGACAATTTGTAGCTTCATTCTCCAGATATAGGGTTCCCAGCAACTTCCTAATTTTACGTGCGACATTTTTGATTACATGCTTCGACAAAACTGGAATTAAATGACCTCTATATAGAATTAAAATTAAAAATGAAAACGTACTTACCTTGACAATAACTCTGTCTTAAAGATAAACTAAAAATAGAATATATAAATGACTTTTTATCCACAAAATAAACAAAAATAACGGAGGATTCGCATTGTGCTTTTTCTGAAAAAAAGACTACGGTTGCGCGGCAACCCCATGCATTGACGTGCTTAAAGCCATATCACGGATGGCACGTAGCATCATAGGCGCTTTCGCTTGCGTTTCCAGTCCCTGTCTTCTGGATTGTCTATGCTTTAAGATACTGTGAACTTCCGAAACCGATACAAGACGAGTTCAGTTCTACTTGCGATATCCGGGATTCTCCAACTTAGATTGAATAGTGGCCAAAAGCCTTTTGCTTTAAACAACATACAATAATGCTAGTAAACTATCTGCAAAAAGCATTTGAAATTTTATCAGCATCAGTCAAAAACGGGCCATCAAATTCAAAGGACTGATAGGTGGTATATAGATAATGACTTCGTTGGATAGAATGATTTTATAACCCTCCAAAACGATTCCGGTTTATTCTGATTTTCGTCAAGTAGGTTTTTGCTGTGCTGGGATTTAGCCTGCCTTAGGGCTCTGTTTACTTCGTTCCGCTTTTGTTTATTTACTTACTTACTTACTTAAAAATTTATTTAACCACGCTGGCCATACACAACATATTTGTAAAATACAATGAGTTGATTTTCAGATAGGGGTGTTATACTTACAAACTATCTTAACTCACATCCTAGTCTCCAGTATAGTGGGCATACTACATTTAAATTGGTAAAGCGAGGATGCCTTTTTCGCCTCAGAAGGAAAACTATTCCACAGCATTGCACCACTATACTTAAAACTTCGTTTAAGATAGTTTGTTTTAGGTTTTGGAAATGCTAGATCAGTATCATTACTTCTAAGATTATATTCTCTATTAAGATCTTTAATTTTTATAAATTTTTCTCTAAGACTTGGAGCGGACTTCTCATTAAGAATTTTGTACATCAAAACGCTCTTCAGCCTATGACGTCTTACATTGAGCGTGGACCATTGCAGATCCTCCAGTACATTTGCCGAGTTGACATCAAATCTTGCTCCTGTTGTAACTCGCGCCGCTCTATTTTGGAGCACCTGTAATTTATCTTTATGGACCTTCCCGCATGTATCCCACAAAGGGGAGCAATAATCAAAATATGGCTGAATCAGTGCTTTGTATAACATCTTTAAGGAACGCAAGGGAACAAAGGGTTTAATTCTTCTTAAGGCACCAATTCCCGAATATATCTTTTTGCACAAATTCTCAATGTGTATATCAAATGTCAACCTATTGTCAAGGTCAACCCCTAGACACTTTTGGGAAAAAACCGATTCAATAATACTATTATTCATAGTAATACTATTAGTTACTTCATTGCCTTTAGCACTCAAATTATGTGCGGATCGTATTAGCATGAACTTTGTTTTTTTCGCATGTGACTGGAGTTTATTTACGGTTAACCAGTCCATTACATTAACTAAGTCAGAATTTAATTTATCGATAAGATCTTCAGTATCGTGAGAGGAGGCAAATATTTGTGTATCGTCTGCGTATAAACATGGAACTGTGGATTCAAGACAATTTGGTAGATCATTGATATAAATTAAAAACAACAAGGGACTTAGAATTGACCCTTGAGGTATTCCACATATTATTTCTTTTTTCGTTGAAAGAAAATCATTTACAAAAGTTTGTTGGTTTCGGAAAGTTAGATATGATTCGAATCAATCATGTTCCACCCCAGTAATTCCATAAAATTTCAGTTTCTCAAGAAGGATCTCATGATCAATAGAATCAGTTTCAATTTATATATTAGTTGTGTGTTTTCTGTATCCAAGGGCCCACAGTAATTGGTTTTAAGCTGTTGTGGTGACCCCGCCTTTTTGTTGTTGTCACCTTTTTGTCCAACCTTGAAACGTGGAGGCTGGGCGTATTTGCTGCGTTTCGATATGTTTTGTCTATAGGTCTATAATAATAATAATAATAATAATAATAGTCTTTATTAAAATACTCAGATACATCCGTCTGAGTTTACAATCGAAAGGTAATTGATCTAGTTATATTTACAATTGTAAGTTAAGAAGCGTAAAAAGTTTTAAAAAGTTTTTAATAGATTAAAGTCTAAATAGATTAAAGTCTAAACAAAGTTATACAGACAACGATTTATGAACGACCTTTTGAATCTTTCTGTTCTCACTAGGGGGAGTTCATACTCATGCCCTCTAGGCCTAAGTAACCTACTTCTTTTTTCCGGCAGCAGTTCAAGCAGTGCATTGTCCTCAGTTGATGTTATTTTGTTCCACAGTTTCTTATCTCTCTTATCACGTATTTCTTTAATGTGTGTTCGTTTTGATATATAACCATTCTTATGTGCACGTTTAATGAATTTATCTATTTGGTTCAAATATTTACCGTCGTATGCACAACCCCACAGCTCAATAGCAAAAGTGAATATCGACATAATTAGGCTATCAAACAGCAGATCTAATTGTTTAATTGATAGTCCATAGTATTTGCAAACTCTCATAATGTACATTCGTCCACTTGCTTTTTTGAGCATTTCTTCAAAGTGCAAATCCCAGTTGCACGGGTTATCTTGTAGAGTAACTCCTAAAAGCTTTAGCCATGTTTTTCGCTTAATTGAAGGGATAAGCTCGGGCAAAACTACAGAGGTGTGTCTGCGAACAACCATTTCGTACGTTTTTTTCCAAGTTTAAGGGCATTCTATTCTCTTCCGCCCAATCCTGTAAACAGGCAGCTTCAGATCGAGATGTGTCACCACTTTCGTTGCCAGGCACTCCTAACGTCAAATCGTCAGCAAATTTGACTAACGCATTACTAGGATCAGCAGTTTTAATATCATCAACCATTATTGAGAAAAGAACTGGGCCTAAAACAGTACCTTGAGGGACACCACGATTAATATATAAATATTCTGTAACCATTCCATCAACCATTACTCTTTGTATTCTATTTTCTAGAAAGCTAATTAACCAGTTCACCACATACGGATTAATGGGTAGCTTTTTAACTTTTTCAAACAAAAGATCGTGGGGCACACTGTCAAATGCTTTGCTGAAATCGAACGACAGCACTCTAACATAATTAGCGTTTTTATCCAGCCACTCTAGCCATTGATGTTGGGATTTAATCAGAGCCATAGTCGAGTTGTGACCCTTTTTATAAGCAAATTGGTCGGGACCAATGTTATTTCTTGTGATAGGTTCGATTTCAGATTTATACACGCACTTCTCGAATAGTCTCATGATGATGTCCGTCAGAGAGATTGGTCTTAACTGGTTACACGAATTTAATGGTGATTCTTTAGGGAGTGGTAATAAATTAGCGGATTTCCATTTCTGAGGTACTTTGCTGGTTTTTAGTGACATGTTAAAAATTTCTGTGACAATAGGAGCTAATTCAATAGCAAACGATTTCCAAAACCAATATGGCAGATTGTCTGGACCCGATGAAGAGCGTTTTTGATTGCGTAAAAGATGTTGAACTTCATGAATTGACAACGAGGGAATTCTTGTTCCTTCGGAGATTTGAAGAGGCTCGGGAGTCGTATAATTTGGGTCTGTATTCACACTTTGAAAATATTTGTTAATTTCACTAGGGTTAAGAGAAGCACTTACTGATACATCATGTTTCTTTTTTCTCGATGTAATGCTATTTACGTTAGACCACCAACTTTTCGATCCAGTTTTCTGGTTGCCAAACTCCTGTTTGACTGCACTTAATTGATTTTCCCGAATTAACTTGTTGATTTTTTCTTGCAATCGTGTATTTGCTTCAGTATTTCCGTTTTGTATGGCTCTTTTCCTTTGATTCAGAAGGTGGTTCACAAGAGGAGACATGAACGGTGGGTCGCGTGATGACGTTCTGACCTTAATTAGTGGGAAGCTCTTATCGAATTTTGGCCATATTATTTCATAAAATTTTAGGGTTATCTCATCTAGGTTATGGCTATTCATAATTATCGTGTTCCAATCAATAGATTCAAGTTCACGAAGCATATTCAATTGATGATGTTGTCTCACATCTCTGAAATAGGAATTTGTCCTTGTTGCTTTAACTATGTTTCGGGGGTATGTGATAACCATATCATGGTCGGATCTCACCAAGCTTTTTACAACTTTAACAGATTTCCAATAGTTTGGGACATTTGTAATAAAGACATCTAATATTTTTAACCCTCTCGTAGGGGTCTTAACGAGTTGGGTAAATGGAAGTTGATTAAGAACAGATCGAATATTTAAATTGTTAATGTCACCAGCAATTATTATATTTGAATTCGGTTTAGATAACAATAGTTGTTCGCACGAGTCAATAAGGAATTCGATAAGGTCTTGCTCATTATACTCATAGTTAGGTGGGTGGTAAATAGTTGCAACAAAGAATTCAGAGTTTTGTGTAATAATTTTTGTCCATAAACATTCGAATGGATTATCCAAATCAGGTAGTAGCTGCATTCTCCAATCATTCCTGCATAAGATCGCGACACCTCCTCCTCCACAGTTTGTTCTATCCTTTCTAATGATGGAAAAATTGGGAGGACAAACGAGGGAGCTAGGTATAGTCGGTTTGAGCCATGTTTCGGTTATATGCCAAGTCATGTTGGGCTCATAAAAATCAAGCTATTCTAAAATGAATATAATTGTAAAATTAAACCGTCCTAGGTTAGCGGTCAAGGGTGTATGTTTTTGTTTTACTATCATGTTGAAACATAGACAGGGGCGCTGAAGTTTGCTCGTTTTTGGGTTGGACAGAAATGGTTGTGTGTACGTGTTGTCTGACTGTGTAATTATAGGCGAAGCTAAATAAATAATAAAAAAAAAAAAAAATCAAATGCTTTGCGAATATCTAAAAAGACAACACCGCAGTCAGTTTTCCGTTGTCCATATTTTCGAACCAATTTTGAAATTTCGATAAAAGTAAATTTACATTAAAATATTGATAAATTTGTCGAAAAACTTCTTTCTCAAATACTTTGCTTAATATTGGTAATATAGAAATTGGTCTGTAATTTCCCATATTACGACGACTTTCCTCCTTATAAATTGGATTTAATCGTGCATTTTTCCAATCAAAAGGAAATCCTGGTTCTCTTTTGTTCTTCGGTATCTACGCAGGAGACTATCTCTTTCATTCATGAGTTTCTTAATTAAGCTCAACCGAAAGCCACGGTACTGGTTTACCTTTCACTCTTTTAGTGATAATTGGGGCATATCTCTCATAAACACCCATAATTACAGCTCTCATGATTCGTGAAAGGCTTTCCGCATTTACATCGCTACAATTATAAACAACAGACCAATCGATTAGTCGAAGCATATAATTATTTCAATTTCCAGGTGCCTAAAATCTTTTATGCTTACGAATTGCAAAGTGATTTCTTAGGAAATTCCGAGGTTGCGGTTTTTTTATACACCCTAGCTGTAGTTTTTGTACGCGTAGGGGTATAATAATCTGCTTGAAGCCATGGAGACTCAGATTAGCTTTAAAACTTGCATTGTGTTCCTAAAGCCCGCCGCACACGAGCGCACTTGTCGCGCGTACTTGTTATTCGTGACAAGTTGGAGCGACAAAATTTCCTCGTGTGCGGGCAACATTTACGGCATTTTCGTCATTCGTGACATGTAAACCAAATATCAAACTAAAAATCGATATAAAATTGCGTCATCCTCGCGCGTGCGAGTGCGCGCGAGGGAACTCCTTAAAAATTTGCTTTTTTAGCAGTCCAAAAACACTGTTTTGGAGTAAAAACGTATAATAAAGTCGTCTAAGTGTATCAGGAACTTGGACTTGTGAATTTCTGAAGAGTTTGATTAAAGAAAGCGTCGTTTGGAGTGTTTTATTTCTTCGAAAGTCAGGGGATTTTTGTTTTAGCATTTTACGCCAGTTGAACGTTTGCTTACGCCACACGTCATCGTCATCAACGGTCATCGCAAACA